CCACAGAACAGTAGGCTTCCAGTGTAAATCTCGCTAGTCTCACCAGGCAGTTTGGTTTGGAAAAGAACTTCACATCCTGGGTACCCTAAATTTTTAAAGAATGTGCTGATTAACTTAAGATGTTTCCCAATATCTCATTATTTCTTGTGTCAATTCCTCTACAAAGAAATTAATTTTAATTTTTCCACTTTAAAAAAATTAATCATCTATTGCTAGTTTCTTATCATGTTTTTTAGTAAAGGATTTAGCCATGCATCTGAGAAATAGATTATTTTCTTTATATTACATGTAATACTCACTTCCTGGATGAATGTATAGAGGAATGGGCCTGCTGAGATAACCTGGTGAATGTCTAGGAAGGTCTGGACCTGAGCCACCACTGCCTGCAGCTGTTTCCTGGCCAGGTCTATTGCCTTCTCTAAGGACTCTACGTTAGACCTGAACAACAGTAAGACAGATAACTATAACATCAATCCTAGACCTACATAAAAGTAAGACAGTTAACATTGACCTACATAAAAGTAAGACAACAAACCATCACAAGTCTTAGAAATGTGTGTGTATGTACCTGTACTATTGATCTCGGTTTAAAAAAATCCTTTTGTGAGCATGTTGTAGAATTATAATACATATTTCCTTTTTCATAAAGCAAAACAAACATTTTTTTAAAAATTATCATTAAACGTCTTCACCAAAACAATTATGAGGCGTCTTATACCAATTTTACTGCACACCACCATATCTTTCGACTTTTGATTGTACATTTATGCACACTGTAGTCTGTACATAGAGGATATTCAATGTTTTGTAGTTTAATATGGAATTTATTTCACGAGTGGGGCTAGATTTTTTTAAAAATCAAAAAATACTGCCTCACGAGTGAAATAAACTCCATATTCAACTACTAAACATTGAATTTTCTGTTTATTATATTTTCTTTGATTTTCCCTTTGCCACTGTCTTCTTGTAATATACAGTCATGGGCTACATGACGTCATAGTTCAGCAGAAACATCATAGCTAAGTGATGAGATTGAAAACTTGTAACCATAGATTTTAGCAACACATTTTGGGGATCTTTGGCAGTTTTATTCTCCAAAAGAATGGTTTATTTACTTCTATCTTTCTTATAACAGACCGAGGAGTATCTTTTACAAAACTCATTGTTATGAGGAGGGAAAATCGCCAGTTTTCCTGCGCTTCTGATATTTGTCACACTGTGAAAGGAATAAGAATATCATTTTGATATCCTTTCACACTATGACAGAATATCATTTTTATTCAATGAATAAATTACTGTATTTCACTGTTATAAATGTAATAAATATATAAAATATGAACACCAGGCAATATTGATTTTATACCTATTCAAAACATCCAGGGCTTTCAGAAAATTGTCTGTAGGACTGTTGCCTTTTTCCTGCAATGAGCAAAGACAAAAAGACATGAACAAAATGAAGTTATTGAGTTGCTTGAGTACATGTAAATTTTCCTGTAAGTCTTTTAAAGAATTTCTCCTATAGTCTTAAAAAAAGGTACATATGTCTTATTTTCTTGGTTTGCATACTGCACAAACTTGTATAAAATGAAAATGATTGCAATAAATTAACGGTGTAACAGAATTCTTTAAGCATCGTCTACTGTATAGTGCGTACACATATCTAATGTAAACTAAAGGCAAACTTACAATGGACTCCAGTGTAGCAGAGCAGGCCAGAGTTACATCTGCTGCACACAGTTTGTTTTTAAATCCGTACTGGGCATTATATGAGGGAATGACAACATCATCTGCAACTAACCTGAAATTTACAATGTAAGTCTTGGAAATTTACATGTAGCTCACTTAATGCCTATTTCATCACTCATACACATCTTTCTTACTATCAACATGATCAATTTCAAAATAATGTTTCTACCTGTACTTTGTTCTACAATAAATGCCAAATAAAGTTTACGCTTAAGATTTTTTTTGTATATTATGGGTAAATAGAGACAAAAAGCAGTGAGAAAGGCGCAGATGTAGGAAGACATGCAGTGCGACATTTATAATTTTTTTTAAAAATCAAAACGAGACTGCTTGATTTGAAGTGATTAATAACCAGTGTATAATTACCCGTATTTTTCCATGTTTTCTTGTATCATGGCTTTTATGTTTTTCTTCAGAGTGGAATCCATGGCATTGAACTTTTGTTTACATTGTGTCAAAGGTAACCTGCAACATTTGATATTATGATATAGGTTACATGTATATCAAGTATCCAACAATTCAAAGCTATTACTGACACACTGGGGAAATGGATGTATATATATATATATATATATATATAATGCTGTTTGCACACAATATTTGAATTGTGAAAAAGTATGTAGAGATAAACATGATTAAAAGAAATATTTTGACCCAGCATAAAATCTTATATTCTCCTATTGTGGACCAAAAGGGAGCAACAGGTCTTACTTTCCTAATGGCAGAGTCCAAAAGGTAAAATTATATTGCCAGAAAATATGCTGGGTATTAAAATACATCTAACATATGCCAAAATGAACTCCAGTGTGAAATTCAATGCATTAGAAAGTGGAAAAATATACGTAAAAAAATTTCCAAGTGAAGTCTCTTCAACCCTTCCTACTTTATCCCCGCACAATTTATTTACTGTCCTGGCAGAAATCTTGAAGCCTTACCCCATCTCTGCCAGATACTCATGCAGTCTTTTCTGTCCCTTGAGGGTCCAGATTTTGAATTTGCATGCTGTGCCCACAGAATGACAGATACTCTCAAACAATGACCAGTGTCTGTAGAGGGTGAGTAACAACTCATCCTCGTAAGAGATCTTCAGACAGTTCACAGATATCAAATTGTCATCCTCTTCTCCTCTGTAACAACATACATCTTAAATTTATCTATGGCAACTCTGCAGTTAATTTAAAACCATAGTTCATGAAGCCACCTGTTTTTTTTTTATTTAAAAATTATCTCTTTGGAATTGAACTTCACTTATACAAATAAATACACTTGTACACTGAAATACCTGTATTGAATTTTTGCAACATTTCTTTTACAAGTTTAGACCAATCATTTAAATCAAACCAGTCTTTTCATGAAATCATAGTTTTTTTTTCAATAATATACAAGTACATGTATGTTATTATGTACAAGACTTACTGTAAATATATTAAATTCAACAGTGTATTCTATTCAGTGACTTGGGCGGAGAGCAGAATATGCCGAATCAATCACACCGCTAAATGTCATGTATACAATACATTTTATCTATAACATTCAGATAGCTACAGATCAAATTTACCCTTTGTTAAAAACTTGATTTCCGCCAAATATTGCATCCCCAAATATTATAAGTTTACAGTAATTCATACTTATCAGAAAATACTTAAGAGTAGTTATCTCATGTTGATTCGAGTGTACAAAAAATAACAGTAGCATGCCTTTCAAATTAAAAAAAAATTCTTTCCCTCCTCTAAAGAGATTGTTTTTTGTATGGTTCTATTTACAGTAATATGATTGGGCCATATTCTATTTAGATTGATGTTGCACAAGATGTAAGATGCATCAAAATTCATAAAATCAAGGACATACTAAAAACCAAGGTAACAGAGAAAACTACATGAAGTTATGACGTAGAAAAATTTAACTGGTTTACCTTTCCTTATTAACATACCTGTGGTTATGTCTAGAAACGTGAGCCTGTAATGTGATGATGTCATTTATATACTTGTCCCTGGTTGTTCTATAGTGAAGAAATTGGTCTGTCACACCCAGAATTGCTAACCTGCAAAATTCATGGACATAACTGGTATATCAAAAGTAAAAACAGATAAAAATCTTAAAGTTCCTTTTAAGCCCATGGCTTAATTTATAATGTTTGTATTTGTTGCAAGTTAGTTCAGCAATGTAAGAGCTATTCTATATTCCTTACCATAACAGGTCATTAGTGTCTTTAGACATCTTCCATGCCAACTCAAACATGATAAAAGCTGCCTAAAAATGAAAAAAAAAAAAAAAAAAAAAAAAAAAAAAATCAAGAGGCCCATGGGCCACATCACCCACCTGAGTAGCTTTGGCCATTCTTCATTTAATAGATTTCCCCTCTGTAATACCTATCTTGACCTTGACACTCATAAAGGGTCATGATTTAGAATCTACACTACCCAAGGATGTTTTCACATAAGTTTCAGCTTTTCTGGTCCAGTGGTTCTTGAGAAAAAGTTTTTTTCCCATGTACTTCAATGTACAAATTTGATTCCCTATTTTGGCCCTGCCCTACCCTCGGGGGACATGATTTGAACAATTTAAAATCTACACTACCCTGTTGTGAGATGTGTATTGTTTCATTATGTATATAATTAGTAACATTAAGTTTCTTGAACATTCCAGAGTGGTCAACATGTTCGGTCATTTTTATCTAGAACATTCTTAGATTTTGTGTATGTCCAGATTGTTCCAGTAATATCATGTTTTAACAATTTCTAGAATATTCTAGATTTTTATTACTGTATAAATACCCTGTCAATTCGATTCAAATACAATAATTGTGAATACATTGTCGTATAAGCATCATTGAGGTATTACTGGGATATAATTTCACTGGGACATTGTGTGCAGCAACGGACACTCTGATGTATGTATTCTTAGATTCTTGCTAAGTTTGTACTTTATGTTTCATATACTTATTATATATTACTGTAAATAAATTATTGTTAAGTTTAAATTGTGTTATTGATCTTTGCTGGCATTTCGGGTAATTCTGACCCATAACAGAATTGGGGGCTCGTCCGGGATAAAGAATTTTTGCACTTTTGCAGTTTATTGTCATAATTTTGCTCATTAATTTTTTGTTAAATTAAATTATAAGCCAGCAGAAATCAATATGGTGTTTTCGGTCACAGACTTTCTTAGTTCACCAAGTGTTCAGGTTTTTGATACGTTAAAAAAGGATGACTTGATCGCATTAGGTTTGCATTTTGGGTTAGATGTTAAATCCTCTCAGAGAAAGCAAGACATTAGAATTAAGGTTGCAAACAAACTAGTAGAAGAAAACATCTTTGAAAAATACGATCTTCCAGAATATACAGTTAAATCAGAGTTAGGCTCTTACAAAATGGCAGAATATCAGTTTCAATTAGAGTTAGAGAAAATGCGATTAGAAAGAGAAAAATTAGAAAGAGAAGATCGAGAAAAAGAAAGAGAAGAGCGAGAAAGAGAAAGAGAAGAACGAGAGCGTGAACGAAAATTTGAATTAGACAAATTAGCAGCAGAAAGAGAAGAGCGTGCAATGAACTTTGAATTAGAGAAATTAAAATTACAAAACCAACCAGAACCGTCAGTTGTCAAAACTGAATTTGACGCAGCAAAAAATATCAGATTAGTTCCAAAATTTCAAGAAAAATCTGTAGACAAATATTTTCCCCAATTTGAAAAGGTCGCAGAGAATCTTAAATGGCCACAAAATGTTTGGTCAACAATGTTACAAAGTGTACTGGTTGGCAAAGCAGCTGAGGTATACTCTGCACTAGGGGTAGCTGAAAGTTCAGACTATGAGAAGGTCAAAGCAGCAATATTAAAAGCATATGAATTAGTACCTGAAGCATATAGACAAAAATTCAGAAAGTATAGGAAGTTTGATAATCAAACATTTGTTGAATTTTCACGAGAGAAAGAAGATTTATTTGATCACTGGTTTAGATCTAAGAAAATTGATAAAACCTTTGCTAATTTGCGCCAAGTCATCCTGGTAGAAGAGTTTAAGAATGTGTACCTCAAGATTTGAAAACACATTTAGAAGATAAGAATGTGAAAACTCTTGAAGAGGCAGCAGTCATATCTGATACTTATGCTCTGTCTCATAAAAAGAATTTTGTATCAAGATCTCAGACTAGCAGTAATTCTACCAATTCAGACACATATAAAAAGAGTGGTTCAGGGTCTCAGTCTTTCACAAGTTCCCAGTCTCCATCCCAAGGTGGTTTTAAGTCCGGTCCAGGACGTGTTGAAGGATCGTCTGGAATAGGGTCGCTTCCTACTTGTAGTTATTGTAAGAAAAAGGGTCATCTGATCAGTGAATGCTTTAAACTCAAGAAAAAAAATGATTTTGATAAAACTCAACCACATGCTTGTGCGGCAGTTAGAGGTGATAGAGAAGCCTTAGTTTCGATTTGTTCTGACACTCCTAATGTCCAGGGTTCACAGTCCAGTTCTATTGATTCTATAGAGGATTATAAGCCCTTTATGTCTCAGGGATTTGTTTCACTCGGTGACTCTAGCGAAATAAAACCTGTCCAGATTTTGAGAGATACTGGTGCTGCACAGACGTTATTGTTAGAGGGCGTGCTTCCTTTGTCTGAGCAGACTTCTACTGGTGGGTCAGTTTTATTACAGGGTGTGGAGCTAGGCGTCATTGATGTTCCCCTGCATAGAATTAGTTTGAAGTCAGATTTAGTTACTGGACCTGTTATCGTAGGTGTTCGACCTACTCTTCCCGTTCCAGGCATTTCTTTGTTGCTAGGCAACGATTTAGCTGGTGGAAAAGTTGTACCAGATCCTATAGTTTGTGAGAAAATCACTCCAGATGTTATGTGCGATGATGAAGATGATGACATTTATCCAGCCTGTGCTGTTACTAGAGCGATGGCCAGAAGACGAGAAATGGAGGCAGACCATACTCAAGCCTTTGACGAGACGAATTCCTCTGTTGATATTGATTTGAATGACACTTTCTTATCTGACCTTGATGGCACTCAAACCAGCATGGAACCACACAATATCAAGAAGCAAGAGAAGAAAGAACTTTTACCAAAATTTGGTGGTGAGGATGATGAGTTGCATCCATTAGTTAGCCAAGGCAAGGACATCCTCAGCCGAGAACGTTTACTCTCTGAACAACATAAAGACCCATATATCATCCAACTTAGTAAGAGGGCACTTCCACCAGAAGAGGCTACTAAAGTTGGAGAATGCTTCTATATGAAAGATGGCATCCTTATGCGAAAATGGCGACCACCTGAAGCTTCTCCAGATGAAGTGTGGCGTGTTGTTCACCAGATAGTGGTCCCAGCTGCTTATCATCGAGATGTCATGAGTTTAGCCCACGATACACCTATGGCTGGTCATTTAGGTATCAATAAGACTTACAATAGGATTTTGAGTCATTTTTATTGGCCTAAGCTAAGAAAGGATGTTTCGAAGTTTTGCAAGTCATGCCATGTCTGTCAGATGGTAGGTAAACCAAATCAGAAGATACCATCTGCTCCTCTCCAACCCATTCCAGCTTTTGAAGAACCGTTTAGTCGAGTGTTGGTGGATTGTGTAGGACCTTTGCCTAGGACCAGATCTGGAAACCAGTATTTACTTACCATTATGTGTACATCCACTCGATTTCCTGAAGCCATACCTCTTAGGAATATAAAGGCAAAGAGCATAGTTAAGGCCCTAACCAAGTTTTTCAGTTTTGTAGGAGCACCCAAGGCAATTCAGTCGGATCAAGGCTCAAATTTTATGTCGGGGTTGTTCCAGCAAGTCATGCATGAGTTGGGTATAAGGCAATATAGATCAACTGCTTATCATCCTGAGTCCCAGGGAGCGCTAGAACGTTTTCATCAAACCCTAAAGACAATGCTGAAGACTTATTGTTACCAGTATGAGAAGGACTGGGATGAAGGGGTTCATCTTGTACTATTTGCTGCACGAGAGGCAGTCCAGGAGTCTCTTGGGTTTAGTCCTTTTGAATTGGTGTTCGGTCATACAGTTAGAGGTCCTTTGAAATTGTTAAAGGAAAAGTGGCTGACTGAGACTAGTGATCTTAATCTTTTAGATTATGTGTCTGATTTCAAAGAAAAACTTTACAATGCTTGTAAATTAGCACAAGAAAATTTGAAGAATTCTCAGATGAAAATGAAAATGTGGTATGACAAAGATGCCAGAAATAGGGTGTTTAAGCCAGGTGATAAGGTTCTTGTATTTTTACCTATTCTTGGTCATCCTTTACAGGCCAGATTTTATGGCCCTTATGAAATTGAAAGCAAGATCAGTGATGTAAACTATGTAGTTAAGACACCAGGTCGACGTAAAGAGAAACGGGTTTGTCACATTAACATGTTAAAAGAGTATTTTGAAAGGTGTGACCGAAATTCTGTAAAACCAGTTTCCACTTTAGCCAACGCTAAGACTGTTCAAAATTGTATTGAAAGTGATACGAGTGTAGAAATGAATGAGAAAGATTGTAATCAGAGTGTCCGCTTGAAAAACTCAGAAATTTTGGCTGATTTTGATGCCAAACTTGGACATTTGAACATTCACCAAAAAGAACAAGTTAAAAACTTGATGAAGGAGTATCATCAAATCTTCTCGGATGTTCCAAAGAAAACTAATGCAGCTTGTCATGATGTTATAGTTGGCGACGCCCTGCCTATCAAACAACATCCGTACCGTCTCAATCCAATAAAATTGCAGTACCTAAGAAGGGAAGTGCAGTATATGTTGGACAATGACATTGTTGAACCTAGTAAAAGTAATTGGAGCTCACCGTGTATTCTTGTACCAAAACAGGACGGTTCCTACCGATTATGTACAGACTTTAGAAAGGTGAATTCTGTTACCAAAACTGATTCATATCCAATACCTAGAATTGATGACTGTATTGACAGCATTGGAAACGCCAAATTTGTCAGTAAATTTGACCTGTTGAAAGGATACTGGCAAGTGCCGTTAACAGAAAGAGCAAAAGAAATATCTGCTTTTGCTACACCAGATGGACTTTACCAGTATAAAGTAATGCCTTTTGGCATGAAAAACGCACCGGCTACATTCCAAAGGATGATTCACTCCCTTCTTCAAGACCTTGAGGGATGCGAGGCCTACATTGATGATGTCGTCATATACAGCGACACATGGGACGAACATCTCCGAATCATGCGTGCTTTATTTGACATTTTAGCTAAAGCAAACTTAACTGTGAACCTTAAGAAGAGCGTATTTTGTCATGCTTATGTAGAGTATTTAGGTCATAAAGTAGGTCAAGGTTATGTTACACCCCTTATGGCTAAAGTGGAAGCTATTGCAAAGTTCCCGATTCCTACAAACAAGAAAGAATTAATGAGGTTTTGGGGCATGGCTGGGTTTTACAGAAAATTTTGTCCAAATTTTTCCTCAGTTGTTAGTCCACTTACAAATCTTTTACAAAAGAGGGTTAAATTTGAATGGACAAAGGACTGTGAAAAATCCTTCCATAAAATCAAATCTGTCCTTATGAGCAACCCAGTTCTGTCAACTCCAGATTTTTCTAAGCAATTTAAGCTTACTGTTGATGCTAGTGATGTTGGAATCGGGGCAGCTTTGTTTCAAGAACATAGTGATAATGTAGATAGAGTTGTTTCTTATTTTTCAAAGAAACTTACAAAATGTCAACAAAACTATTCCACCATTGAAAAGGAATGCCTTGCTTTGTTGTTAGCTTTACAGCATTTTGATGTTTATTTGAATGTTACTTTGCATCCAATTCTTGTATATACGGATCACAACCCCCTGACATTTTTGCATAAATTGTCAAACAAGAATCAAAGACTGACTAGATGGAGTTTGTTGTTACAAGAATACAACATAACAATTAAGCATATCAAAGGCAAAGACAATGTTATTGCAGACGCCTTGTCAAGAGTATCGTAAATATACTAGATTTTGTATTAATGTACATGTTTTACAATTTAAGTTTTTCATTGACATTCAAACTTTTTAAAGGGGGGAGGTGTTGTGAGATGTGTATTGTTTCATTATGTATATAATTAGTAACATTAAGTTTCTTGAACATTCCAGAGTGGTCAACATGTTCGGTCATTTTTATCTAGAACATTCTTAGATTTTGTGTATGTCCAGATTGTTCCAGTAATATCATGTTTTAACAATTTCTAGAATATTCTAGATTTTTATTACTGTATAAATACCCTGTCAATTCGATTCATATACAATAATTGTGAATACATTGTCGTATAAGCATCATTGAGGTATTACTGGGATATAATTTCACTGGGACATAGTGTGCAGCAACGGACACTCTGATGTATGTATTCTTAGATTCTTGCTAAGTTTGTACTTTATGTTTCATATACTTATTATATATTACTGTAAATAAATTATTGTTAAGTTTAAATTGTGTTATTGATCTTTGCTGGCATTTCGGGTAATTCTGACCCATAACAACCCAATGATGCTTCCACATAAGTTTCAACTTTACTGGCCCAGTGGTTCTTGAGAAGATTTTTTCTTATTCTTATACCTGTATATTTCTATGTAAAACTTGGATTCCCTATTGTGGCCTAGCCCTACCCCGGGGGGGGGGGGGGGGGGGTAATGATTTGAACAATTGAGAATCTACACTACCCCAGGATACTTCCACATAAGTTTCACCTTTTCTGGCCCAGTGGTTCTTGAAAAGAAGATTTTTCCTATATATTTCTAGGTAAAACTTGGATTCCCTACTGTGGCCCCACCCTACCCCCAGGGGTCATGATTTGAACAATTTAGAATCTACACTACCCCAGGATGCTTCCACTCAAGTTTCAGCTTTTCTGGCCCAGTGGTTCTTAAAAAGAAGATTTTTAAAGATTTCTCCTATATATTTCTATGTTAAACTTGGATTCCCTAATGTGGCCCCGTCCTACCCCTGGGGGTCATGATTTTAACAATTTAGAATCTACACTACCCAAGGATGTTTTCACATAAGTTTCAGCTTTTCTGGTCCAGTGGTTCTTGAGAAGATTTTTAATAACCCCACCCTATATTTGTATTTTTTGTATTATCTCCCCTTGGAATAGGACTTGGCCCTTTATTTAAATTCCCCTTCTCCCAGAGATGCTTTGTACCAAGTTTGGTTAAAATTGGCCCAGTGGTTCTTGAAAAGAAGTTGAAAATCAGTCTTCACGAAAACTTTTCAAACTAACTGGCCAGTCGGACCAGTGCACTTTCAAAATTTACTGGCCCACCAAAATTTTTACTTGCCCCTTAATTAAATAATAAAATAAATACATTTTCATAACTGTAAATTTATACATGTTTACGTACTTCAACTTTTGAAATGCGCCATTTTTCGTCCTTTGTTGCGTTTAGGTAAGTTGTTTGTTGGAAATTAGCACATTTTACATACTAGTTAATAGTTACTAGCTAGTTCCAGTTGTTACGTAATACATCCATGTTATAATAGGGTTATAATAATACGATTCAACAACACATGTATGCTTGTTCTTTTTATTTTATATATTAATGAAATTTACGCAAGTAAGTCAGTTAAAATATACATTGACTATGTATGATTTTTATAATCAACAAGCCCATCGGACTTCTTGAATTTTAATTTTCACTGACCCGACGTCAAAATTCACTGGCCTCGGTCTTCGGACCAGTGAGTTTTCGTGAAGACTGGAAAATGGGAAAAGTTTACAGACGGCTGGACGGACGACGGACAACAGGTGATCAGAAAAGCTCACTTGAGCTTTCAGCTCAGGTGAGCTAAAAAAAAGGTTGAAATTGACTATGAAGGCTAACGACTCTTAAAATTTTCTAATTTTCTCACTGAATATCAATACTTACAGATGTTCCAAAAGTTGAAAATTGCGTGTATTCAAATAAAATCTTGGTTCTGAAACAGAGATATTTTAAAAATTCTAGACGTTTGTAAACAAGGTAAAATTTGAACCTGCAATCTTATCATGCAAAACGCATCTTCACTGAGTAAGTCATACAGGTATAATTCTTTCAAACTATCTAAATACAGCAATTAAATATTTTTTTTTTTTTTTACAAAACTATCACAGCTTAACAAGTAATTCTTCAAAAAGAATTTATGAATAATAAAGAACCTAAAAAGGTGAAAATTATTCTCATACCTCAACACATATGCTAACACATAACATTTAGACAGGATACCTGTTTTCTTCCCACAGTCGCCTTTCTCTGCGTTTCTCAATGGAAGCGTCGTCAAATCTTCGTCTTTTTCCTGACCTCTCTGAGTCGTCGCTGTCATTGCCAGAGTCATCATCTGACTGGAAAATAATAAAACCTGTTTTTTCCCCTTTTTTTCTGAAGGCAGAGAACTGTAATCCTGAACTATATAGAGCCTGTCTTGCTTATTTCTAAAATCTTTGTACTACATGTAACTAGTGCTTATAGAGTTTATGAAGGCAGTATGAAAGAGATGGATTTTGTGTGAAGAAATATATAAGTTTTGGGGGGCATTATTTCATCAAACAGACAGTTTATCAGGTATACAAATTTGGATGAAGTATTTTTTGGGAATCCCTTATAAATTCTTAATAATTCCATGTGAAATTTAATGGCTAAATGTAAAAAGATTCTGATATCAAATTGAATTTATGGCATTAGTGAGCAAAATTTGCATCAAGTAGAAATTCAACCAGAAGTCTCTGTTGAGACTGAAGCTCTACTGGTTTTTACTTATAGCAAAGGAAGAGAAAAGTACTTAAGCAGTTAGAAATTGAAACTTTTCAACAGCAATAAATAGAATAATGATCCTTGATTAAGTCTCTTTATGTTCTTAGTGTAGTCTACTTGCATGCCACATTATATTATAACCAGACTAAAACTGTTATTTGGAGTAGCATTTTGAGAGTATTTAACAGAAATTTCTATTTTTAGTAACCACGGCAACACCGTTCATCGAAATCAAAAACCGATATACAGAATTATGTATCTTAGTGTAGTCTACTTGTGTGCCAAGTTATATTAAAATCAGACCAAAACTGTAGGAGGAGTAGCATTTTGAAAGAATTTCACAGAAATTTCTATTTTTAGTAACCACGGCAACACCGTTCATCGAAATCAAAAAGGGATACACAGAATTATGTATCTTAGTGTAGTCTACTTGTGTGCCAAGTAATATTGAAATCAGACCAAAACTGTAGGAGGAGTAGCATTTTGAAAGAATTTCACAGAAATTTCTATTTTTAGTAACCACGGCAACACCGTTCATCGAAATCAAAAAGCGATACACAGAATTATGTATCTTTGTGTAGTCTACTTGTGTGCCAAGTTATATTGAAATCAGACCAAAACTGTAGGAGGAGTAGCATTTTGAAAGAATTTCACAGAAATTTCTATTTTTAGTAACCACGGCAACACCGTTCATCGAAATCAAAAAGGGATACACAGAATTATGTATCTTAGTGTAGTCTACTTGTGTGCCAAGTAATATTGAAATCAGACCAAAACTGTAGGAGGAGTAGCATTTTGAAAGAATTTCACAGAAATTTCTATTTTTAGTAACCACGGCAACACCGTTCATCGAAATCAAAAAGCGATACACAGAATTATGTATCTTTGTGTAGTCTACTTGTGTGCCAAGTTATATTGAAATCAGACCAAAACTGTAGGAGGAGTAGCATTTTGAAAGAATTTCACAGATATTTCTATTTTTAGTAACCACGGCAACACCGTTCATCGAAATCAAAAAGCGATACACAGAATTATGTATCTTAGTGTAGTCTACTTGTGTGCCAAGTTATATTGAAATCAGACCAAAACTGTAGGAGGAGTAGCATTTTGAAAGAATTTCACAGAAATTTCTATTTTTAGTGACCACGGCAACACCGTTCATCGAAATCAAAAACCGATACACAGAATTATGTATCTCAGTGAAGTCTACTTGTGTGCCAAGTTATATTGAAATCAGACCAAAACTGTAGGAGGAGTAGCATTTTGAAAAATTGTTTACAGACAGACAGACGGACAGACAGACAGACAGACGGACGGACGACGGACGCATTACCATCGCATAAGCTCTTCTGGTCTCTGACCAGTAGAGCTAAAAATTAACAAAAATTCATCTTTCTAATGAATTTTTTTAAGATCCCAAAATTTAAAGCAATATTCAATTTAATATTATAATTTCATATTTATACTTAATTCAATTCAGTAGAAAAATCTTCAGAACTCCAAGGTTAAATTTTGAATTAGTACATGTACTTCTGAACAAATTGGGTAGTCACATTCGAAGGAAAACATATTTTGGGAATTCACTTTATAACTAATTTAACAAATTGTGTATAAAGCATATTATATATTCTCAGGTCCTAAAGGCTCTGCTACAAGAGTTAAAAACTGTACATCAGTTTATGTAATTGTAAATCAGTCTTTTTGTCATTAAATTTTATTATTCGTATCAACTTATTTTACACTCTAAGCAATAAAAAATCCTTCATTCCTTGAGTGAATTACGGATTATTTCTAGAGTTAAATCCCAAGTTTATGTAAACATAATTAAATACACACCACTACATAAATGGACAGTATGATCTGTATTCATTTAAAAAATGACTGGACATTTAAACATTTGATCTTGGTGTGTGTGACCTTATGGCAACTAGCGTGATAACATAATCAGCATATGTTATCTGGGGTACAATTGATATCTGCACACATTTGCAATGTAATGAATATTCTAAAAGGATAAAAATCTCCTGTATAGTACATATGTAATACAAGTAAACTCTGAATTGGTGAAATCATGTAGTTACAGAGAATGAGTAGACATAACTATAAGGTAAGTGCTACATATGTATATAGTTTATTTTGCATCTGCATCATGATTAAACATCTATTTTCAGTTTATCTTATGTTTTAAATCCATATTACATTCCAAAACATGCTAATGGTGACACATCAATGAGTCTGAGTTCAAGATTAAGATTCAATAATTAGATTACAGTGACTGGCAATTATCTTTTCACTTCGTTATCTAAGACTTTTCAAAATTGAATTATCCTTTTGGCATCAGATGAATACCTCTTAACTGCATTATGATTGTATTATTTCTAACCAGATAAATGAAGACATGCACTCTGCTAATGCAGATGAATTATGGGAAAAGTCACATGGACTACCAATTTGGAGGAAAATCTGTTTTGCAATTGGTGGAATCCCATATCAAATTACAAGCACCGTGCTAGGATTTTTCATGAGTATATTTCTCCTAGAGGTGGCTCAGGTATTGTTGAGTTTTATACAGTATTTTTAAATTAAACAAGAGATGTTTGTAAAACACTTATGCCCCCCTCCCCCCAAATTGGAATTTTTCTAAGTCCAAAAGGGCATAACTCTGTCTAAAATGGTGCGATCCTACCCAAAACATTCCTTGACCTAGATATTCAGCTGAAATATCTGTATACTAAATTTCATTTCAATGTGTGCAACCTCTGCAAAGAAAGGAATGGAAACTGCAATTACGTGGAATTTCTAAGTCCAAGGAGCATAACTCTAACAAAAAGGATGCGATCGTACTCAACAAAAATTGACCTAGATATTTATCTGATATATCTGTATACTAAATTTCATTTCAATATGTGCAACCTCTGCAAAGGAAATGAACGGAAACTGCAAATAAATGGAATTTTTCTAAGTCCAAAGGGCATAACTCTGTCAAAAATGGTGTGATCGTACCCAAAACAGAACTTGACCTAGATATTTACCTGATAAACCTGTATATCAAATTTCATTTCAGTATGTACAACGGTTGTGAAGAAAATGAACGGAAACTAAATGGACCGACAGACCGACGGACAGCAGCAAAGCAATATGCCCTCCCTTCTTCGAAGGGGGGCATAATAATTTAACAAGAGGCCCAGGGGCCACAGCGCTCACCTGAGCACATCAGCTCGGAAAAAACACATATCAGATCAGAACTGAAAGTTTATTGGGGGGGGGCTTGAATTTTAACCACCAAGGGGATCATAATTTGAACGAACTAGAATCTACATTACCTGAGGATGATTTCATATGAATATTACTAATCCTGGCTTTGAAGTACTTGAAAAGAAGATTTAAAAAGGTTTCCCTATATATTTCTATGTAAAACTGTGGTCGGCCATATTTGCCACACCCTTACCCTGGGGTCATGACTTGAACAAACGTGAATCTACACAACCTGAGGATAATTTCACATGAGTTTCATCTTCCCTGTTTCAATGGTTCTTGAGAAGAAGATTTTTTTAAAGATTTTTCCTATTTATTCCTATGTAAAAAATTTGATCGGCCATTTTGGCCCCGCCCTACCCCCGGGGGTCATGACATGAACAAACTTAAATCTACACTACCTGAGGATGATTCCACATGAGTTTCATCTTTCCTGGCCCAGTGGTTCTTGAGAAGATTTTTAAAGATTTTTCCTATATGGGTCATTTTCAAAAAAAGTCCACTTTTTTGTCTTCTGATCAGAAAAATAGGAAAAACATTTTTTAGAGTGAAAGTTTTTTTCCCGTTGGTTAATATACATGGTCATACAGCTTATAAGTTATTTTATGATCATCTCCCAGGTGTTTTATAAAAACTAGAACTGTCCAGTAGGGACAAATACCCCCGCTGGGTTTTTCAGAGTAGGTGCCAATTCAGAAAAAATTTATGGATCTAGTAAGAGGTATTCACTATTGTCTAATAAAGTGCCTTGCCACAGCATGATACGCCCATCAAATATTGTTCTGATAATCATAAATTGGTTAGGGTGCGAGAAAATTAAGTAACCTTGATTAACAGATTGACACAGATTTCAATGATCTAATTTCCATTTCTTATCATGTTTAAAATATTGTACATACATCTCTAAGAGACTTACAGTGTAGGGATTAATTAAAACAAATAATACATCATATAATTCTAAACTGGCTGTGTTAGAGCTTAACAAATATCCATCTGCAGCTTTAAATTGTTTATTGCATATTTTATGAAATAATGGAAATGCTACAGTCTAATAAAAAAAAATCAAAAATTAATTATTCTTTAGACTATAAAATTCTAAGTGAGACATGACTGCAATTTGTTGCAAATATATAAAAATTGAAATGTAATATTTTTTCAATGACCACATGTATAATTAATTTTAATTATATTATACAATACTAATTCAGTTTTAATCATACACTAAAACATCAATTTGTTTTAATTACATTACACCAATTGAAAGATCTTTATCTGAACTACAGCCATCAAGAACTCTTAATTAACACAAGCAACTATAAGGCCATTTCTTTTTGCCCAACTCCCAAGAGATAAATTAAGATTAGATCTACAGATGCTCTTGCCAGTTAACTCCCGACAATGAACTCATTAATTTCTCTCTAATTTGACATGCACATTTCTGCTATCAAAAATTCTCCTTGACCAGTGCTTGATAATTATGCCCATGGGACAAACTGAATTCCTCTCAAATCATTAACATTTGTTATAGAATTTGCTGTAAAGTATATGATAAAAAATAAGTTTTTACTTAATTTAGCATTTTTTAATAAGGATACAACTATATTTTTACATTTTTTAGGATTATGAAATTTAAAATTTTAAAGACTTAGTTTTTTAAAAAAAAAATCACTTAAATTAAAGGTCACAGTGACCTTGAAATAGGTCGTGACACACCGTCTACCCAAGATGCATAAATTGTCCAAGTTTGATGATTGTAAGTCTAATAGTTTTCTAGTTATGAGCCAAACAAAAA